TCACATTGTTCATCTTTGCATCATCTTGCAGGCGATAGATTATTCTTTCCTGTCTCCTTGTTGTTTTTAAGAGATCCGTTCTTACCTTTTTGCTAGCTGCATCAGCATCTTCAAGATCTGTAACTCTGTCTTCACTTTCACTTAAACGGTTTTGTAAGTTTGTGATTGAGATTTTAATTTCCTCTATATCTCTTTGACCCCGCTTCATGGGATCTATTTCTTTCCTGTATTGCTCATTCAAGGAATCCATCATTTTTCTATTCATCTCTATTTTTTTAATCAATGTCTTCTTTAGAAGCAGTTATAAAGTCTTTTACTGCAGTGTTTTTTTCAGATTGGGTTTCCTCCCTATGTTTCTGTAGTTGCTTCTCTAGTTCAGATGCTATGAGTTCTGAGTATTCTTTTTTTTATTTCAGTAAACAATTGCACTCTGAGTTCCTCTATAACTTTCTTGTATTGCTTATTTACTATCGTCGCTGTTAATTCATGCATTTGAGCCGAGCTAGTGTCCTCTACACTTGTTCTTGGTGGGCCTTAGGTTTCCTCCGTATGTTTCTGCATTTGATTCTTTACTGCAGATGTTATTAATTCAGTGATTTCTTTTTTTGTTTCCAAGCTGAGTTTCTGTATACCTCTCTGCAGCTGTTTCTTTATTTCAGAAGCCGTTGATTCACAGCTTTCAGGTGTGTGATTCCCAATTTGTTCTGTGTTAGTGTCCTCTGCACTTGTTACAGGTGGGCTTGGGTTCTGGGGTTGCCTTTTGTTCCTCCTCGACATGTTGTGTAGCACTGTCTTCTGACCTTTGTTGTAGATCTTCATTGGTTTTATAACCTTTGCATATTGTAGTTCAGGTTCAGATCTACAGAGTTTGGATTTTTCCAGCTGTACCTGTTTTGAGTCTGGCTGCTGTGCTGAACTCCTTCCTGCTGCTGCCCTTAGGGGTGATCCTGTTATGCCCCTCTGGCAAGATTTTATGCTCCTGGACTAGCTGGGTGATTGTATCCGCTGCACTCTCTGCAGTTATTTCACTTGCATCCCATGGGGGGTCTCACCCAAGCTGCCCCTGTGCTGGGACCAATAATAGGTCCAGCTGGCACAGGGTAGCTGGAAGTTCTCCCACACACTCACTGGGCCTGGGTATTACTGGCTCTGGGGGTTCCCAGAACGGGGCAGAAATTATTACTTGGTGGGTGGGGTGGGGAAGTGCTATGGAGTGGTGGGCGTGTCCCACGGGGGGAGGTGGTAGAATAGGGTCTCACTCATGCTGTGCCTGGGCAGGGACCAGTAGTATGTCCTGCTGGTGCAGGGTAGCTGGGAGCTCTCCTACATACTCACTGGGCCTGGGCTAGGACTGGGTCTGGTGATTCCTGGATCGCGACATAAATTCCGATTCAGCGGGCGGTTGTGGGGAGGTGCTAGGAAGTGTTGGGGGGCATCCCAATGGGGTGGAAGAGGGCCTCACCCACGCTGCTCCTGGGCTGGGAACAGTACTCGGCCCCGCTGGCGCAGGGTAGCTGGAAGCTCTCCCACACCCTCACCGGGCCTGGGCTAGGACTGGGTCTGGGAGTTTCTGGAAGGTGGCAGAAATTCCTACTCAGTGGGTGGGGTGAGGAAGGTGCTGCGGAGTGGTGGGGGGCATGTCAATGGAGTGGAAGAGGGTCTCACCCAGGCTTCGCCTGGGCTGGGACCCGTAGTAGGTCCCGGTGGTGCAGGGTAGCCGGAAGCTCTCTCTATTAACCACTTTTGAGCAGTTTTATTTTTTATAGTTAAAAAGCGTGACAGGGGCTGGTGAGATGGCTCAGTGGTCTAAAGCACCTACCTTGAACAAGCTAAGCTAAGCAAAGCACAGGGACCGCGGTTCAATCCCCCAGCACCACAAGCCAACCAGCCTCGCCCCCTAGTGGGCTGAGCTGGCCACACACACAGACACACACAGACACACACACACACAAATTAAAAAAAAAAAATAAAAAATAAAAAGCATGACATATATACTTCTCATTCTTCCTCAGCCTATTGTCCTATTTAAGTAATTGTATCTGATAGTGGTATACATGTGGCAAGTACAGGTTAACTTTCTTATGATGTTATTTAAAGTAGACTAAGGCATTTGACTTTCATCCATTATTGACATACCTGATTTCTAACCATCATATTAATACTTTTGACCAGTATTTGTTATTGTGTATTTTAACTTGTTTGACAAGAATAGCAACTTTTTCTTATTTCTTCGATTTCTTTTTCCAGTATTACAAATGCGGTACCCAGTTTGCACTTGTAACCCTGGGAACTCTTGGTGCATACACAGCATTCACAGTAGCAGTCACACGGTGGAGGTATGGTATTTTCAATAGCCAGTTGAAGTTTGGAAATTAGTTATACTTTTATAGCATACATTTAATGCCTGTACAAATCTTTGTCTTACAGAACTAGATTTAGAATAGAAATGAACAAAGCAGATAATGATGCGGGTAATGCTGCTATAGACTCACTGCTGAATTATGAAACTGTAAAGGTAATACATTTCATTATATTTTCTTGTGCTTTTCAGACATCAGTAAGAATTGTTCTGCCATTTAACTTAATAGGTGCTGTAAATTAACATGTTCATATTAGGATACTATCTTTAGATATTGTGTAATTGCACTACTTTGCTTTTCTTTTCCCTAGAAATTACCTTGTCTTCTCAGTTTTTGTTTAACAACATCAAAATTTTAAGTTCTGAATTTTTTTTTAATTTTTTATTTTTTTCCCATTTTATTGATAAACAAATAGCAATGAGACAGTTTCAAATCAAATTGATAGGACAGTTTCAATAATTGACACATTCATACATTCTTCCTAATGGTTAATTGCTGTACAAGATGCAGACATGATATCGTATTTACAAACACCATTAGAACAAATCCCTTTATTCATTAAGAGAATGTAACTATATATCTATCCTAACCACTTTGAATACACAGATACAAAATGGACATTCATCTGTACACCCTTTTTTTGTTATTTATAAGAAATCATAAATACATTGTTAACTTCTTGACTCAGGAAGAATATTAATCTGATCAAACTGACAGGTGAGTTTTTGATCCTCTTTCTATCCCTGAGTGCCTAGCAGAGTGCTTTTCATTAATTCTTTCATCTCTGTGTTCATTTTTCCGTTTTTCGAATAGTTATTGAATTCTTATTTGCAAAGTACTGTACCAGTTACTCTGAGGGGCAAGGGTGTTAAAAAATAAAGATAACCTTGTAATGACTGCCCTCTGAATCTTATGTACTACAGGAGTTAAAGTAAATATGAAGATGACTGAGCAAGATGAATTAAAAGAGTGAGTAGAGTGAGAGAACTGCTAGCCAAATCTCAGGGAATTGTGAAATAGTTTTGTGAAAGAAATATCATGGAGGGCAAGCCAGATAGTTCAGCAGATTAAAGTACCTGCTTAGGCAGAAGCAGGGAATGGGGTTTGATCCCCAGCATGCCATTCTGGCTCCATCCCCAGAATGTGCCGAGACAGGGATTGAGACTTTGCGCCTGTAATCACAGCTCTTGGGAAGCTGAAAACAGTATCATTACAAGTCTGATCTATACTAAATTAAAAGAAACAAATGTATCATTGAAAGACTTTTTTAGATCTAGGTTAAAATTAGCTAGAAATTCAGTAAATGGTTTTGGCTGAGATAGCTCAGTGGTCTAAAGTACCTGCTTAGGCAAGTGCAGGGATCTCGGTTCTATCCCTGGCACCATGTGCTGGGCCAGCCCCATCCCAGGGCGGCCTGAGCTAGATACAAAAAAAAAGAATAAAGTAAATGTTTATTAGATGAATTTTGTGGTCTTTTCAAATATAATGAATTACAACAAACTGCCAGAAGTACCATATTTCAATATAATGAAAATCAGTTTTTAGAATCAAATCTCCACTACAGAATGTAGCCATATATAAAGCTTGATAAAAACGTATACTAATCACTTTAAAGAATACATTTCAATTATACTTGTCCATAGTTCCTATTCTTACATAATTGTATACTTTTGTAGTATTTTAACAATGAAAACTATGAAGCACAGAGATACGATGCATTTTTGAAGACATATGAGGCTGCATCACTGAAAAGTACCTCTACTCTGGCTATGCTGAACTTTGGCCAAAGTGCTATTTTCAGTGTTGGTTTAACAGCTATAATGGTGCTTGCCAGTCACGGAATTATGGCAGGTAATGGACTGTGATTATCACATTGCTGTATGTACTTTTAACTTTTACAAATAAAGATTAATAAAAGGAATATATATGTTATTTATATTTATTAGAGTGTTCAGTTAACTGCTGTAGCATTTTTTAAGTGTTTTCCTTTTTGTGTCAGAATGTGTTTTACTGATTGTTTTGTAGGTCTACAAAGCGCAACTCTTTTTTAACATCTAGTATCTCTAATTTCTGTTCTAGATCTAAAAAGCAGTGCCATTAATTTAGTGTTCAGTCTAAAAGACTAATGTAAAAGCTGTCTTTTTTTCTGGAATTAGCAATGATCTAATAATCTTTCTTCAGTTTTTCATTTGTATAGCACTTCAGCAGTAAATAATACCCATGCCTCTTTTTTCAACACCCCCCCCACTCATTTAGAGCTTATTCACTTACTGAAACATTAGTAATGAAGTTTTCATTATCAGGCATTATAACCATTTGCTGAAATGTTTTAAATATATACTATTATAAAAAAATTTTCATTTTATGTTACAAAGAAACTATGGTCTACATTTTAGGGAAGAATGGACAGATTTTGAATCCTTGCATTTCTCTCACTTAAAGCATTCTTTGTATGTTATAATGTACAGGTGGACTTTTTCCACTTGGCTTAACATATAACCAAGATCCTTGCATTACCTAAATTATAGATTCAAATACTTATCAGTTGAGTTAGTTTGAACTGGATTTTATGATAATAAGCTATGAAATTCTCTGTGTTCATCTGGGAAAGCTTTTAACATTCATCTAAAATTTCTTTTTTCCCCCCTTCTGCCAATTGCATATTCAGGTGCCCTTACTGTTGGAGACCTAGTTATGGTGAATGGACTGCTTTTTCAACTTTCATTACCACTTAACTTTCTGGGAACTGTGTATAGAGAAACTAGACAAGCACTCATAGATATGAATACTTTGTTTACTCTACTCAAGGTAGACACCCGAATTAAAGTAAGTAATTGATATAGTACCTTTATAAAAGTATGTAAGCACCATTCCATTAATATTGGATCATTCTAGGAATATTTTATATCATCATGTTAGTAGACTAATTTCTCTTACAGGAATTGAGGCTTTTGTATGTATTGAAGCTGTTATAGCTTTGACCTTTAAAAATTGCAATCTTAGCAAAAAATGTTCTTCCCAGAAATTACATTTTGTTCAATAATTTGTACTCATTCTGGATTTACTTTTGCTAATAGTGGTATGAAATATATGATTGCCTCTCCTCACATCTTCCACTGTATACTCCCCTGGTCATCATCCCTCCTCTCACCCTCCACTAAATGTTCTCAGTAATCTAAAAGCACTCATGATTTTTACCTCAGCAGTGAAGATGAGGGGAAAATAGTCTTTATAAATATGCTTGGCGGTGTGTATATACTCCACTTGTATGAACTCCTTCCTTTCCCGTTGTTTTCCTTTTTCTCTCTCTCTCTGAAAAAATTGTCTATGTAGTTATAATCAATGTACTGTGTAAAGTAGTGATTTTCTTCTTTCTTTTCCCTGCTAGGACAAAGCAATGACATCTCCCCTTCAAATCACACCACAGACAGCTACAATAGCATTTGATAATGTGCATTTTGAATACATTGAAGGACAAAAAGTCCTTAGTGGATTATCTTTTGAAGTCCCTGCAGGAAAGAAAGTGGCCATCGTAGGTGGTAGTGGATCAGGGTGGGTAATTTAGTCATTTATACAATTCTACATTCTTGATCAATAATTCTGAATGTGATTTTTTTATCCTAATGCATTGATTACTATGCTTTAAAATGGGAGTTCTTTAATGCCAATAGGAGCTAAATAACCTTTCCTAATCTCCAATTTCAGGAAAAGCACAATAGTGAGGCTGTTGTTTCGCTTCTATGAGCCTCAAAAAGGTAGTATTTACCTTGCTGGTCAAAATATACAAGAAGTGAGCCTGGAAAGCCTTCGGAGGGCAGTGGGAGTGGTACCTCAGGTATTTAAAAACAGAAAAATATAAGTTTTGGAAGATTTATTGGATTGGGAGATATGTAACTAGAATAATTTTAATCTAAGGAATTAGCATATGCTAATGTTAATAAAGTGGGTAGTGATAGGGCCCATAGGTAAAGTTCTTTCACAAAAAGAACTTTTAAAAGGGAGAAGGAAAAAAAAAAACTTGAATGGAAAATCTGTATAGTAGAAAAATTTCTAAGCTGTAGAATGATAGCATAATAGAGTCCAACAGACCTGGATTCTAAACCAAGCTTTAATACTTAGAAGTTCTATGGCCTTGGCCATCAGTTTCCTTGTCTCTAAAACTGAAATACCATTTACTTTATGGGATAAGGTTTTTATTGCAGATCAGAGTTAGTATATATAAAGTGCCAAGCACAATATCATGTAAACAACAACTGTTATTGTGATTTTGAAGAGCTTTTGACATAGTGAATTTAGAATTATGAACTAGTTTGACTTCTGTCCTCAAGTTTGTATGCCTTTTTCACCACTTTGCCCTCAGTACCAAGCATACTGTCTGACCCACAGTAATCATTTAGTATTTGCCAGGTACCTTCATGTATGTGTGTTGGGGAGGGGGTAAATCAAAGAACTGAGAAGATAGAAGTAGATGGCCTTATAGCAAATTATATTTTCTTTTACTGTAAGGTTATAGTGACCTTGAAATTAGTTGCAGTTAGTATTTATTAGAAAGTTGATTACTAAATCAAATACCTGGGTAAACAGACAAAAATAGTGGGGAAAGAGAAAGAGAGAGACTATGAGAAAGTGATTGGACAGGGATACATTGCTTTTAAAAGATCTCCAGCATAAGTACTCTGTCTCTTGTCTTTTCACTGAGAATCTCAAATTTTAGTGGCCAAGAGTCACCTAGGGAATTTATTGAAATTCCAATTCTTATTCAGACACTCTAGTTCTGATTATGGGGGCCAATGTGCCACCCAGAAACCTGCATTTTGAATCTATATCCTAGGTGATTCTAATAGATGGTTTGTAGTGTATATGTTACGAAATACTGACCTAAACTATTTGTCAGGTAAACTAGATTATGAACTATGACAGGGCTAAAATCATCATTCATATAATTAGATTCCTGTCATTCTCTTGAGTGCTGGAATGATTACTCTCATCCCTTAGAAAAGTAAAAACTTTATTCACAAAGGAATATTATGTAAGATCAATAAACAAAAGATACTCAACCTCACTGGAGACCTTACCAATATATATGGAAAACAATATGACCATATTTTACCTGTGAGATTCATAAAGATTTTGAAATTCAAAATATCCAGCTTGGGCAAAGCTGTATAAAATTGAAAACGTATTGTTTTGTTAGTGGAATTACATAGTTTTTATTGGTAAGAAAATTGGGAATATATATGAAGTGTCTGAGAAATATTCATACTCATTGTTTTGGTAATTCTACCTCTAGGAAATTTTAATGAGGAATTAATGAAATATGCACAACTTTGTATATATAATCTCACCATTACTTATAGTAAAGGTTGAAAATATTAATGTTCAAAATGTAACAAGATGGCTAAAACATCGCAGTAGCAAATATCACACAGCCACTTAAAATACTATGTTAAGGGTATTGAGTGTCATGAATAATATGCAGGTTTAAGTTTATTGAAAAAGAAGACATCAAATAAAATATCCCAATTTTAATAGTAGATTAATACTTTTGCTAGTAGAGATAAAAGATAAATGTGCCAAAATGCAGCTTTTGCTGCAAGCTGTGATTATAAATTATTTCACTTTTTAAATTTATAAATTGTACATATTTAAGGTATACACTATGATTTTACAAGATGCCTATAAATAGTGAAGTGAGGAGGGTGAGTCAAGAGGCTCACAATTTACAGCATAGCCTGGACAAATTAATAACTTAGCAAGATACACTAAAAATATGGTTGGGGATATAGTTCAGTGCAAAAGCCCTGCGTTCAATCCCCAATACCTCATCCTCAAGTTCTTTTCAGTATTAGTTACTGTACAGCAGTAATATATTCATCATCTCAGATAGTTACCCAGTTTTTTGTGTGATAGCTAAAGTATCATTGAGCAAGTAATGAAAGTCCAATATTTAGTTTTTATTTTAGTTTTATATTTTAAAATTTTTCAGTTAGAATTTAACTATTTTCAGAAATTAGTGTATTTTAACATAGTATACTACATTAGAATAATATAATCAACTTTCTGTATTTTAAGTATAATATCAAAATTCTAAACAAATATGAGAAATCATTTTCAACCTTAATAATTAGAGAAATACTACTTTAAGCAACATATTTTACCTCTAAAAGTAGCAACACATAAAAGTTACTAATATCCAGAGGTTCTGAAGGTATGGGAAACTGGCAACCTCAGACATTACTAAATGGGTTATATTCATACTCTGCTGTTCTTTATGGAAGACAGCCGGGAAGTATCCAGGGATAAATGTGTATTTGCTTTTTGACCCATCAGTCTACTTTTAGGAATTGTTCTTGCAAAAAAAAAATACATAGATTTACATTTCACATATGTGATGTTTTATTCCAATTTGATACTAGCAAGAATGTGTTAATTACAGTAATGTTGATTAATAGGGGAGTGGATAAATTGATATATCTATAATATGAAATATAAAAGTGTTAAAAAGAACTAAGTGTTTTTCTGTTACTTACATGGACAATCTCCAAAATATATTAAGTGGAAATAGCAATTTGCAAAAAGATAACATGTATAGAATGTACCCATTGTTTCAGGTGAAAAAAGTATATATTTAGGAATACAGTGGATTTTTGGGTGTCTTCTTTGTAGAGTTTAAATTCATTCATAAATAATGATAATTTAACTTCTCTTCCTGTCCTTATTCTGTTTATTTCTTTCTCTTGTTTGATTGCTCTGGCTAAAATTTCCAGAATTATGTTGAATAAGAGTGGAGACAGTGGACATCCTTGCCTTGTTCCTGATTTTAAAGTGACAGCTTTCAGTTTTTGTCCATTTAGCATGATGTTGACTGTTGATTTGTCACTGTTGACTTTTATCAGATTGAGATAAGGACCATCTGTTCTGATTTTCTTTAGGGTATTTATCATGAAGGGGTGCTGGACTTTATGAAAAACTTTTTCTGCATCTATTGAAATGATCCAGTGATTTTTGTCCTTGGCTCTGTTAATATGGTGTATTATATTTGTAGATTTATATATGTTCAACCATCCCTGCTTCCCTGGGATGAATACATCTGGGTCACAGTGCATAATCTTCTTGATGATTTGCTGTATTCTGTTTGCCAGTATCTTATTGAGGATGTTTGCATCTATGTTCTTTAGGGAGATTGGCCTGTAGTTCTCTTTATTAGTTGGGTCTTTGTCTGGCTTTCACATCAGGGTAATGGCTGCTTCCAGGAATAAATTTTGGAGCATTGCATCTTTTTGCTTTTCATTAAAGAATTTGTGAAGTAGTGGTATTAGGTCTTCTCTAATTTTCTTGTAGAATTCAGCAGTGAATCGGTCAGGGCTTCGGCTTTTCTTTATTGGTAGGTTTTTAATTATATGTTCAATTTCATTGATTTACGGGGCCGGGGAGATGGCTCAGTGGAATAAGCACTTGCCTGGCAAGTGCAAAGGTCTGAGTTCAAATCCCTGGGTTCCACTAAATAAATAAATTTATGTAGGATTTTTATATCTTCTTGAGTCAGCTTTGGTAATTCATGTGTAATCTAGGAATCTGTACTTCTGCATTTTCTTATTAGAATATAAATTCTCAAAGTAAGTATAGATGATAATCTGGATTTCTGCAGGATCTGCTGTGATTTCACCCCTTTCATTTCTAATTGCGTAGATTTGAGTCTTTCCTTTTTTTGAATAAGTTTGGCTAAAGATTTGTCAATTTTATTTGATCTTTGAAAAAACTTAACTCTTCCATTCATTGATTCTTTGTGTTGTTTTCTTAGTCTCTACATCGATTTCTGCTCTAATCTTTATAATTTCCTCCCTTGTAGGAGCTTTGGGTTTGGCCTGCTCTCTGTTTTCTGGAATTTGAGGTTGAACAATTAGTTGTTCATGTGTACTTGCTCTGTTTTCCTGATATGATGTTCAGTGCTCTGATCTTTATAGTTGGGACTGCTTTCACTGTGTCACATAAGTTTCATATATTGTACTGTCACTATCATTTAATTGTAGAAACTGTATAATTTCTCCTTTAATTTCATTTTCACCAATTGGTTGTTCAGGAGAGTGTTATTTACTTTCCATGTGCTTATGAAATTATTATTCTTTCTTTTGTGGTTGATTTCCAGTTTCATTGCACTATCGTTGGATAATATGCATCAGATATTTTCACTTCCTTTGCATTTACTTTATCATATTCTATGAGTTAGTATGTGGTCTGTTTTGGAGATTATCTCAATGTGCAGCTGAGAAGAAAGTGTAGGTGTTGTGGAGTGGAACACTCTGTAGACATCTACTAAGTCATTTGTACAAAAGTTTGGTTCAATTCTAATACTTCATTGTTGATTTTTTTGTCTAGTTGATCTGTCTTTTTGTGACAGTGGGGTATTTAGATCCCCTGATGCAATTGCATTAGTGCTTATTTAATTGTTTATGTCCATTAATATTTGTTTTATATAGATGAATACACTGGTATTTGTTGTGTATATATTTATGATTGTTACTCTCTTCTTGAATTGTTCCCTTCACTATGATGCAGTGATTTTCTTTGCCTTTCTTAATCAGTTTGGCTTGAAATTCACTTTATCTGAAAATAGAATAGATAGCTACTTCTGCTTTTTTCTGGTTCCTATTGCATGAAGTATTGGTTTGTACTCTTTACCTTTCAATCTATGAATTTCTTTTTGAGTTAAATGTGTTTCTTATAAGCAGCATATTGTCAGATCTTGCTTCTTGATCCATTCTGCCAGTCTATATCTTTTGTTTGGTGAATTGACAATGTTAACACTGATGGTTGTAACTGATATATATTGATTTATCCTTGTTATGTTATTTTCCTGTTGTTGGCTCCTTTTTCTCCCTTCTGTTTGTTGGCCTTTCCTAGTAGATTCCTTTTGTTGGAGTTCATGGAATTGTGGCCCTTGTTATCTCTTTCTAGAATGTCTTTCAGAACATTTTGAGATGGTAGATTGATGCTCATAAATTTCTTTAGGTGTTTTTTTTTTTTTTTTGCCGTGGATGTATCTTATTTCTCCATCAATTTTGGAGGATAGTTTACAGGTTACATCAGCCTGGATTGAAGGTTGTTTTCCTTTAATGCTTGAAGTACCTTAGTCCAAAATCTTGTTCACTTGAGGGTTTGTGATAAGAAGTCAACTGAGATTCTGATGGGCTTTCCTTTACAGGTTATCTGTTTCTTTTCCCTGACAGCTTTTAATATTGTATTGTTGTGTTGATTTTTCTGGAGTCTGCACTATGATATGCCAGCTATAGATTTTTTATTCTGGCTAATTAAAATTCTATATGCCTCACTTATGTGTATGTCAAATTCTTTTTCCCTACCTGGAAAGTTGTCTGCCATGACATCTATGAACAATTTTTATATCATTATATCATTTATGCTATTTCTTGCTTTTTTTTAGTGGCTCAAGTCTACCATTAAGTTATTCTTTGTGTCATCTAGCAGCTGTTCAATTGATTTCTCATGGTTCATTGCTATTTTTAAGAAATCTTTCTGTTAATGATCACTAATCATAAGCTTGTCTTCTATATCTGAGATTCTGTCCTCATGTTGGCTCATTCTCCTATGTATATATTTTTTTTTACTTTTTAAAGAGAATACAAAATAGAATTAAAAACAGAAAAAAAATGACAAGCGATTCAGAATTTTGCTTAACAAAGTAATATGAATTTCACAGTATTTGTTGTAATACATAGTGTTGTCTTCCAACTAGTTATTCATATTACCAGATATATCAGACCTGCATGTGTATCATCATATTGTCTCCTTAGTGTGAGAACCTGAAAGAAAAAAATGGAATCTGAAGCATACAGTAGATACTGGGAAAGGGAAATGAACTTACTCAAAAGGAAAGAGTTACTGAGTTTGAGAAGAAGAGATAAGAGAGAGTGGGGGAAAGAGATTTGTCTATGTATGTAAGCACGATGGTTTGAACAGCTGTTCTGTACGTTATGGAAACGAGCAGAAAATACTTGTTTTGTTGCCTTTTTCAATTGTTTGTACTTTTTCTCTCCTTAATTTCTTGTACATTTCTTTCGTTCTTCCAATTTTACATGTTCCTTTGTATATTTTAAATTGAATTTTTCTTTTCCTAGATTATATGTTTGAATCTATTTTATGGATGTCATTTCATTCATGGTTTCTGTTATTTTCTTAAACTTCTCTATTTTTTTATCTGTATCTGCTCTAGAGTCACTGAGCATGGTTTTTATTGTGTCAGTTCTCTTAGAAATTATTTCTGATTTGACTTTTTCTAGAACCTCATTCAATTACTATTGTTACTACTTCCATGAAGTCAAGTGGGTAGCTTTTCGTTGTCCCACTTCATTGCCCCCTGGGTTTGCCTTTGGATATCTGCAGTTGCTTCTTATTAGTCTGTAATTTTCTTCTGTTTTTTTTAAAAGTTTAATTCCTGGCTTGATGTTTGTAAACTGCCTAGGCTGAGTTGCTTTATTGCCAGTATTTAGAACCCTTACCTTTAGGAAATGAATACATCTCCAGTGTGTTGTCTATGTATGGCTGGTCTGTGGTTTTTGAGTCTGTTGCAATATGCTATCTCTTCAGTTTGTTGGAGATGAGAAGTTACTGCCTACTTGGCCCAGTCCGTGGTTCTTTGGCACTGTCCCTTAGTATTTTCTGTGAACCTTAGTCAAGCTCAGTCTTGGTGTACCAGGAAGAACAGCTGGTTAGAACAATTAATTATGTCATTTTTGCCTAAAATGGTACCATTAGCAATAAACATTATCATCAAACAGGGCAAAAAAATGATAAACTGTAGTATCCATTAATTTGACACCTTTAACTATAGGTATTAGATTTATGGTTATATAACAAAATCTTAAAACAGAAAATTCTATGCAGTATATAAGTCCTTAGTATATCATTGTTACCCTCAGGGGTTGAAATTTATAAAAGGTTAGGGAAAAGTAGAGAAGTAGAAGAGGTAGAGATTAGAAATAAGGCTGGAGAACAAAGGGGAATCTTGCTAACTTTGGAAAACTGATGCAGAAGACAGCAGGAAAAGAGAAGGAAGAAATAAAAGGAAGAACAGAACAACCACAAACCACATTCACATTCATAAAAACATGGTTAGGCATATAAATGCATAGAGAATGTAATTGCACACAGCAAAGTATTCATGATGACTAGTTCTGGGAAAGCAAATGGAATTATAGGGATGAGGGTGATAAGGGCTGCTGGTTTTTGTTTTTATGCCTTTATATCTTTATGATTGTTCACATTTTTGTAATGAACTTACATATATGTGTGTGTGTATAAAATTTCAGGATGCTGTCCTCTTCCATAATACTATTTATTATAACCTGTTATATGGAAACATTAGTGCTTCACCTGAGGAAGTGCATGCAGTGGCAAAATTAGCTGGACTTCATGATGCAATTCTCCGAATGCCACATGGATATGACACCCAAGTCGGGGAACGAGGACTCAAGCTTTCAGGTGATCCAAAGTTTCAGTTCTCCCTCCCACTCCTATACTCCCTTCAGAGTAATTTGTTGAAGTTATTTATATTATTGATATAAGTCTAGTTAGATCAGTTTAATTTATAAGTAGTGATCTTCATATTGAAAGAAAGCCAAGATTATTACTTATTTGAGAAAGTAAGTATAAGGAAAAGTAATTTCATAATGAGTAGTGTATCTCTCATAATTTACTAGGGGATATTTAAATACTTTAGTCCTCTTGTACTTGATCCTTTTCTCTTTTTTTTGCTCGTGGTTTCCTGATAAAGGAAATTTAGGGGTTTTATCTTCCTACTTAAGTGTTTATGAGACTGCTAGGCTAACAATAAATGACTCTAAAATGATTTTGTAGTTTTTAGAAGTTCATAAGTGTTTCTTTTCCCCAAATGATTTCAATTCTTAGGGGATATTGATATATAATGCTTTAAAGTATGTAGTGATGAGTTTATACAAATACAGTACATCCTCTACTTATTTTCGTCTCTCTCATTTAGGGAGGAAATACATAGATTAAGGGTACAGATAAGGCAAAAACAATAAAGAATACCCTGCATAAATTTTAATGAGTTCCAATTCTTTTCTTTATATAACAACTATATATACTCAGAAAACTCATTAGATACATATTATATACAGGCTGCCTTGCTAAATTACTTTTTATTGTGAAAATACATTTTAATACAAGTTTTGAACATTAGTATTGCATTTATAAAATGTTTACAGTGATATTTACAATCTTATCTTCCTTAATGTCATTGTTGTGGACAAAGATGACCATATACATGTAGCTAGGTACAGTCTCTTCTAATACAAAGCCTATAACTACGTAGAAAAAGGGTAAGAGTTAAAAGACTACTGTGAAGATCATGGTAAACTCAAATTCCTACAAGTTTTTGGGGTGTTAAAAATACAGGTTTATCAGGGCTGAAGAGGTAAGTGTGTGGACCCCCGTTTACACTGCAGCTCCGTTACTCTTCTGGCTTGCCCTTGAAGTGGGTAACAAGCCTGCCCAGGCCAAAGCATGGCAGCACCAGTCCACAGCAGCTGCTGTAACTTCACAGCAGTCTTATCTATTCAAAGCTCATGACCTACGAATCATTTACATGACTATCAGCTGATCTAATGATGGTTGAGAAACTCTCATGCAGGTGTCTGAGGCCTGGGCTCATGAGTTCTCTGGTGAGGATAGCCTCTGCAGGGTAGATCTGTGGTTGGCCCAGAAGCCTCAGTATGATACTAGGGTCGATGAGAACAGTGATGAGCAGCTCTATGGCAAGCCACTGGATAGTTCTGCTCCTAATGGTCTCCCTGGAAACTGCAGTCTTTACCTATGATATAAGATGCAGGATCAAACTGATTTTGGGGGCTAGACAGAGTGGCAGTGAGCCAGATCAACGCTGCACTCTTCTCACTATACCCGTCCTGGATAAAGCCCCTGATCTGAGCATAGTAGGGCTTTCAATCTTAGTCATCAATCACAGAAACAACATCACCAATTTGGTAATACACTCCCTTGTAGAAGATAGATTCTGCAGTGATGATGGTGGAAACAGACTCAGGAGCTTTGATGGGATTTTTCAGTTTAAAAATATGTCTTTTCCTTTGGTGGAAACCTTTTCTGCAGCTGGAGCAGATTTGTACTTCGTGTTTCTGAGCATCGCAAACCATAAATTTCCTGCCTACTCTGCTTGTCCCACCCCCCCAACCCCTTGCTCTGCTTAGGCACGGCCAAGGTGCTGGCGAAAGTCGCCAAGCTGAAGCCGCCTCCAACGCCGCAACCCCCAGTCCCACCGGCCGCCGCGTCCCCTGCAGTGGTGGCCGAGGATCTCGCCCTGCTGGCCTTTCTTCCACATGGAGGATGATGTGGTACTGCAGGTGGGCTTCAGGCCCAGCAGCATGGTGGCCAGCCTGGGCGGCCCTCAGAGAAGCAGCAACATGGGAATGGCGGCCTCCCTCCCCAGCTGGTAAAGAGAACAGTGAGGCCTTGGGCAAGGACAGCCATGCAGTGATCCGCAGTGCCCCTACGGCCTGCGGGGGCTAAATTATTTAAGAGTTAAGAAGAGTAAACATGCCTGATAACAACTTTAGTTTTATTTAACCAGAAATGATTTTAGACCTGTAGGAGTTCCAGTGATTAAAAACTGAAATTTTTTGTCGTTTGGAATTTTCTTTATTTCATTAATTTTTTTGCTGTTTATTAAGGTGTAACTGTTCCTAAATGTTTATTTCTGTATTTAGGAATCCATTGTACTACAAATCAGATCAGATCCAGTCCAGCTGTTGAAACTTCCTCTCTGACCTTGAACAAATCATTTAACCTTTCTGGGCTTCTGCTTCCTTTTAGTTTTTAACAATCTTTCATGCTAGAATCCTGTAACACATACCTGCGGAGAAGTAAGAAATATCTAGTACGTGCATTTAATTTTGAAGAATACTGTGAAAATACTAGCTTTCTATTAGTAAGCACCCTTTAAAATCTGGCTGGATAATAATTTTTTTTTTCAGAACCGGGGATTGAACTCAGGCCCTTGTGCTTGCCAGGGAAGTGCTTATTCTACTGAGCCATCTCCCCGGCCCCAATAATTTTTAGTTGTTTTTTTTGTTGTTGTTGTTTTGCCCCAAATGCCTTCAGTGCGTGATTGGCTGACTTGAGTTGTGGGGATCGAACCACAGCAACCTGAGCCTGACTGCTTTGTTGAAGCAGCCACTTAAAGAACTGAGCTAAGGGGCAGGCCCCCAAAGGCAGAAGGTTTTTTTTTTTAATAATTTTTAATTGTAAGATGTAAAGTTAAATATTTATAGTTTCTGGCTGTAAGAATAAAGTTCTGGCATTTGGGGTTGTAATGAATTTGGTTTTGCTGATTTTCAAATATTGACTTTTATCTGAGAAAGCTGTTCCTCTAGACTTCTGTGATATAAGTTAATCTATATAATCATATTTCTGATGAGAACTATCACAGTTATTACCTCCCCTCATCTTTATACTTTTCACCTGCTACGAATTCAGATTCACTATTGCATATACATTCAAGCTAATGTATTTTGTAAAGGGTTATCATAAATGAATTTAAACTCTACAACACTGTATAATGAGCACTGATCAGGAATGCAGGTAAATGTTAAATGTTTTACTTGGATAAAGTCAATATAAATACTATAAACAAAATATGTATGATTAAAAAATGTAGTGAATGTTTAAGTTTTTGAAATATCTTACAGCAAAAGATACCTTGCCATTATTTCCCTCAAAATGCTCCTTTCTTGTTTTGAACACACCATCTTGTGTGTTCAAGAACACATTCTTGTTACTTTCTCAAAGTTCTGGCGGTGCTCTTTTGTGAATGTCTTTATTTGCACTTGTAGCTTCCTCAATGTCCCCTGTATTGATTCAACATGTTTACTTCTCTTGGTTATTTTGACTGTAGAAGAACCAGAAGTCACAAGATACAGATCCAGTGGAAGAGGGATGACACATCATAAAGTTTGTTTTTGTTTCAGGTTCTCTTACTGTTACTGGCAGTCTCAGGATTCAGGATCTTACACTTGCCAGGAAGGTGCTTGAACCACTGAGCTATGTCCCCAGAACACCATCAAGTTTTTATGAAACTGCTTTTTCATTGTGTGGCATTTGTCAGCAGTATTCACTGTATTTTGATCTCACCTTGTAAAGACAATTATGAAAGAGAACTCATTTCCCTACTATGTAACTCTAAACTAAAATTTTTCTTTATTAGGCGGAGAAAAGCAAAGAGTGGCAATTGCAAGAGCTATTTTGAAGAATCCCCCGGTCATTGTCTATGATGAAGCCACTTCTTCATTGGATTCAATTACTGAGGAGGTAAAGGATATGAAAAGAATAAAGAGCATTTTAATGTTTATCTTTTTTCCTTGGAAGTTTCAGGAAAATGTCAACATTTATTTGTATTTTAAATGAACTTCAAAAGAAGGTGCTGTAGAACAGAGTATTTAACCTTTGTTTTCCTATCTAGCAAGCATTGATGTTCAGTGCCAGTTTGCATTGAACTAGGTATCATCTTCTGAAGTCTGTTTGTAAACGTCTTTTTCATTTGTTGGCACCTAAAAATATTACTGTTTTACCCTTTCTTGCATCTTGTAAAGCTGTAAAATGCCTAATATGTCAACACCTGAAGAGGACTTTAGTCTTTCTACTATAGCCATTTACATTCACTATTACAAGTCATGTAAGTGATTATGACATCTGTGATACAGTGCACACTATGAAGCATTGCGTTTATCTTGGAACAGCTCCTTGAGATGCAAGTTCAGTATACACAACCATCAGTGCTGGAATCAATTTATTTAATTTTTTATTCATTGTAATGAGAAAAAAGTAAAATAGCAATGAAACAGTTTCAAAACCAGGTTAGTAGGATAGTTACAATAATTAATACATTGCATATTGTTGTCTTCATAGCAGTTATTCAGAAGACAAGATGTAGACATCACATCTTGTCTAAACACTATTAGTACAAACCTTTCTTCTCATTGAACTAAGAGAAAATAGCTGTGTATCTATCCTATCTTGTATATGCATGTATTTTTTTCACTACAAAACAGTTCTTATATCCTCCCCTTTTTTTGTCAGAGATTGGTTTTCCATTGCTGTTAGAGAAGTTGTATTTGGAGAAGTCTTTAAAGGGTATTTTTCATACTCGATGCCAGTCCAAATACTGTAGCTACTTGAATTCAGCAAAATAACCCAGTATAGTCCAGTAGTCCATAGTAGTATTCAGTTACCAGCACATCTTTGTTACCAGTACCAGTTGTTGAATTGAGCCTTTTACAGCTCAGCATATTAATATAGCTTTACTTTTCATACCTGTGGTTACACTTTTCTGCTGTACAGTTAAGACCAAGTTAAAGCAAGACCTATATAACAAAAAAATGTAACTTTAGTGTCTGAAAGTGTCAGTCACATCTCCTCAGGATTTACCCTGGAACTATGTACAGCAGTTTGTAGATCTTTTGTCAGTATCAACCATCTGGATGAGTCACAGCCATTGCTTGACTAATTTGCTCTCTGTGAAAGCCTGAAAGAAGTTTTTCTCTCTAGGTGACTCTCCTTAGGCAAACTATCCATCGTCGATCACTTTTCTCTACGGCCCCATTATGTCCTTGATCAGAAAATTTGGGACAGCACTGAAATACAGGATGTCACAGCACAGATTCTCTTATGTCTTGAGGCTTCACTGACCTTGAAGGGCAATGGCCAAAATATTCGCTATCCTTTTAGCCCATCTATCTTTGTAATTTTGGGTCTGCAAACTTTAATTGTTAAACAACCAGAAGAGAAGCTTACTGATGTTATTAGCCTATAACAAAGGCAGTTAAGCTTAACATCACTATCTGCCTGAATATCACATACCTTAGATATAAATTGGAACTGCTATTTTCGAGCAACCATGGATAATCTGAAATTTAAATTGCTATAGAATGTTAAAAGCAATTACACATTTTTACAGATATGTAGAAATCAAAGCATATTAACATTGTAGCAGAACAGTCCTGCTACATTTTTTTCTTGTCCCTTGTTTACTTTTATTATATTTTTTTATATTTTTATTTTTTTTTAATGTGTAAGAAACTACATTAAAGTACTGAAAGAAAGCAAAAAAACAGATTTGTCCTCTTTAAATTTTATACTTAGTAAACATACCTTTGAAACTAAAAGTAAAATATTTTCCAGTTATACAAACTTGAAATATTCTAGTACATTCACACATAGCATATAACA